AGAAAAGTTAGTAAAGGTTCTAATCAAACTGTGCCAGCAGATCTGGAGAAAAACACTGCTAACAGATTATAAAAGGTCAATTGATACAGAAATACCAACGAAAAGAGACTTAACAGAGTGTGCATACATAGTCTGTGATCTAGGCAGTTTAAAAATGTCCAAAAACCAATTTTCTAAGTAAAAAATACTCATCTTTGCAGAAATATTCAGCATGTTCTGGTGTCCTTCACTAGTTAAATTTTAGTTACATGTTGTGAAGGCAAGCATATGCTGGCTGAGTTAGCACATTATTTTAAGCCATAATGTAGTTGGGTTAGTTTTGCTTTGCATAATGTAAATTCAATTATTCTAATTTATAAATCAAGGTTTATGATTTAGTGCACGGGTATCAAACTCGTGATATCACGTGACGTGTCGCGATATATTGTGACTTTTCCTCCATTGACGGCAATGGGGTGGGCACGGTTTTAGCGTGACGCATCCGGTCCGTGGTTTGACACCCCTGATTTAGTGTGTTCTATGAATCCAGACTGGATTAATCAATGAATCATAACAAATACTCATTTAGTGCAATAAATTAGCAATTTTATCTCCCTAATTAATATAACCATATGTTCTACATTTGAAGATTAACTATCCAGATTTTTAAGTTGCATATTTATACATAAACATATGTATAAATTTAAAATATATGAAATGACTTTTAGTCAGATTCTCATTTGATATTTTCAAAGTAATTGAAGCTTGCTTAATTTAAGCATATGCTTTGTGGTATGTCAAGAACCTTGAGCAGCATGAGTTAACACTTTCTGAGAAGATGGATTAAATAAGTGATCTCATTACTGATGCCTCTTATTTTGCTATAGAACCATTTTGTCACAAGGAAAGTGTTTTAGTGACCCAGATCTAAACAAGGCAGGGAGGCTAGGTACACATGTTACACTAAACCAGGATGTTTAAATATAGTTTGTTAAATAAGCTGCAGTAGGTTTAGGATATCTTACTAAGATGGTACCAGGCAAATCACTTACAGTCTCAGTACAATATGTGAACCCAGTCAGTGATACTTTATTCTTAGATACCACACAAATGTATTAAGAAGACAAGAAAACATACAGAGATACTATTGTCAGCATGAACTTTTAAAAAAATTCTTGCACCAGACCTGCTAAGGTTTGGGAAATAGAACAAAACTTTTGTTTAATTCCTATTTGGAAGGCAAAGATCCTTTGTAAAGTGTGCAGGTGTTTAATATTATTTTATACATCATTTGCTAATCAAACAAAACCATGGATCACTGACAAAAACCAAACTTTTATTCCTATAGTTATCATTAAAGAGAGAAAAAAATCAACACAAATGTGGCAGCTACATCAGCTTCATCAGTCTATTTTGTCTTCTTGAAGGCTTGATGGCACACCTGGTCTTCACAAGTCAATTCCTACAAAAGAAGAACCATTAGAAAGCAGAGCTTTTTCATTGTGCTTATTATACTCCATACCTTCCCTTAAAGATAAAAACAACTCAGACACCACATTAAGAGTGAGGCTGGGCTATTAAATGGAAAAGAACAATGTATTTTATGTAACCAATCAGCCAGTAAGCACTACAGGTGGCAGTAATTAGATTTGGACACTTCAGTTGAGTTTTTAAAAGGATAAAAATGAAAAATGTATGAAAATTGCTTTGTAACAGTAGGACATTTCATAGTCTATTATTAGCCCACATACTGTAGTGCATTAAAACTACTGGAGCAACAAGAAATTGCAAAAGGAGAAAAGGCAAGGCTTTAAAGGTAACAAGGAAAGTACAATAGTATTTGGCCAATAGTATTTGGCCTATGTGTCTGCAGAAAGTGGGTCTTAACTTGGCATGTTATAGCAAGTGTTACAAAGTAGGTCAGTAGCATTATTGGCAAGTTTTGAATGTATTTTAATCATGAGAGGCCATCAGTCTTAAATATGAGCTACTTGTTTCTATGTGGATATCTTTTTTTACATATAGAGGAACATCTTTTGGTATAAAGTAAGGGAAAATGTTTATAATCATATCTTTCAAGTTACTGTAACAATCTCTCAACCTTGCTATTAATTCCTTAAATGGTTCTTAAGGCTTTGTTTGCAGCAATAAATATGAAGAGAAGATGCTACAGAACAGTGATGATGTATTGCAAGAGGGCTATGGGCAGCTGATTTTCTTCAGCTCTTGTTTTTGCAGTCAGATCAATGGAATAAACCATTATCTAGTGTTTCTCTATCTGTAAAAGAGAATTAATGATTCTGGGATGAAATAGTTTAAAAATCACTCCCAAACACAATTGTGTTTTTACTTTTTTTAAAAAAACAAACAAACACAATTGCTTTGCAGTTCACATGAAGCTACTATGAATTTTGTGATGTTTTAAGAGGTACTGTGAACATTATTACTCTGAAGAAGAAATATCAAAGTTGTTTTTTTAATATGGATAGTATAGTCATACATGATTCCTACCAAACGTATTAGGGTTCAGCACAATCTTACTAGTCAAAGCAGCTTTAAAAGATCATCAAAGTAGCTCCTTGTTTTCCAAATTATCCAATCTCATATCTTCTGAAAGTCTGTTACTTAGTTTTTAAGCATCTATATTTATCAGTGGACTATGTAAAAAGTTTTAAGATAATAACTATTACTACCTCTTGTGACAGTAAATTCAGTAAAGTAATTGATAACTATGGGAATATTTTTTTGTCTTTTTCTAGCATTAGAAAATCATGCTCCCCAATTTTTTGAAAATTCCATTCTGCAAATTCATAATTACAGTACCTTTTTAATATAATTCTCAAGAGAACAGAAATTATCACCTATGTCTTCCAAGGTATATGTGTTAGTAGAACTAGGTTTATAGAATCTCTGGATTTACAACTATTTTACTAGAATAGTTGTATCTATTCTAGAAAAATATGGGTCTTCTTAATAGGTTTTGAAGCAGGACTGAATAATGGAACTGGGAGAAGGTAGCAGGATATACAGATGTTCTTTTTCCTTAGGAATTATGCAAGTCAATGTTTGCATCTAATGAAAAATGAATTGTGGTAAGAATATTAAACATTAATGCATTAAGTTGCAATATTAATCATACTTATTTAAAAGTATGTTCCTCTGAAAATAATTTCCTTACCTTCTGAGAAAAGTGGTTTGGAGTTGAGAATTGAAAATGCTTAAAAATGATTTTTTAAAATTTCTAGCCCATTAAGCAAATTTGATCTCAGTGGAGAAGATGAACAATGTTACC